AAGATCAATTTATAAGGCCTGGTTAGTGAATACATTGCAAGGTAGGATAAATGAGATCCCAAATAATATTTTATACTCTTCTGGGATCAAATGGAAAATTAATAATACAGATAAAAGGCCAAGAGGCTGTGGGGTGAAACACATAAATTTCATTTTGTTCATGACAGCATATATTAACATCTTTCAGTGAAAGCCATAGGGATATATTTTGACCATTTTTCTTCTTTATATTGAATAAATATTAATTAAAACTTATTCTAAGATCTTGAATGTACACAGTAGAAAACTTGTGAGAAGACTTCTCTTCACCTATTTAATTATATTAATACTAATAACTATTCTAAATAAAATTAAGTTTAAATATGTTCTTTAATTTAATAGTACATTACTAAGAATCTGTTTACAAAGAACAAGTTTATTTGTATCTTTATTAAAGTTCTTTAGGACATTGATAAGTATAACATTTTGAAAAACTTTACTGAAATGTGCTTTAGTCCACCTAGTATTTTCTGGCCAATAAGATCCGCTATCTGTCCCTGCACTTTATACCTGTATTGTTTCAGTTTGCAAATTGTACATTTAGTGGTCACTCATCTCATAGAATCATAAAGAAACCTCTAAATTGGTGGCGCAGCAGACTAAAGTGCTATTAAGTAGCACCAGTTGCCTGCAATTACTGCAAGTTCAAATCTCACCAGGCTCAAGGTTGACTCAGCCTTCCATCCTTTCGAGGTAGGTAAAATGAAGACCCGGATTGTGGGGGCAATAAGCTGACTTTGTATAAAATAGAACACCGCTTGGGGGGGGGGCGAAAGCCCTACTAAGCAAATATATACAAAAGTATGAAGGCTATTGCTTAACACATTGTAAGCCACCCTGAGTCTCGGGAAAAAGGGCGGCATATAAATCAAATAAATAAATAAATAAATAAATAAATAAATAAATAAATTAATTTTGCATTAGATTTTGCTATTTGTCCAGCCTGGGATCACTACCCATAATGATAGGTATGGCCCATTTGGTTGCCACTTCTTTCAGCAAACTCAACATAACAAATACTTCTGCATAATATAAACTCTGCTGTCTGACCTGCCATAAAAAGTCACACATAGTTGTGAAGGTTAGGTATCCTCCAGACTTATTTTGTAAATTCCCATGAGAATGCAGAAATACCATCTGTCCTGCAGGCTGCTCTGCTGCTGATGGTAAAGTAAATTCTCTTCCAACTGTTGTCTTAATTGCATGGTAGCATTTTGTTATAAATTATTTATACACTTGTGGATTTACAAATTACTTGTAAATTCACAAGTTGTTGGTTTTGCAAAAAAGCTTCACCAAGATATTCTCTAGACAGTGGAGTGCCCTCAGGTTGGAGAACTTCTCCATTAACAAATATGAGATCTTCAGCTTTTCTTTTCTTTCTTTTTTTTAAAAAAGAGACTTGTTGTCAGCCCCACTGTGTAAACCTGACCAGAAAATCAGTTGCACAGGAAAACTTGAACAATAAATTGGGGTAAGGTATAATGACTGAATTTAACAAGTCTAATTATACTTTTGTTTCCTCACTATTATACATCAGCAAATCAGGGAAGTGTTTGTCTGAGCCATTTCTCAGTATTATATTGCTTCTCAGGACATAAAGAATATTTCAGCTCTATTTACTTGAGTAATGGTGCTTATATATTTCTTGCAAGACAATCTCCCTTACTTTGTAAAACACAGTTATGGAAAAGGCTCACTTCCTAGTTCTTGCCAGATAACATTTGGATCTGAAGTTAGCCCACCATATCTAATCTAATGGAATGGGTAGATATTCTCAGAGAGAGCTGGTCCCTCAAATAATCTGACCCTTGCCATATAGAGCTTTAATGGGGATAACCAGGGATGAAATCCAGCAGGTTCTGACAGGTTCTGGAGAACCGGTAGCGGAAATTTTGAGTAGTTCAGGGAACTGGCAAGTACCACCTCTGGCTGGCCCCAGAGTGGGGTGGGAATGGGGATTTTGCAGTATCCTTCCCCTGCCACGCCCACCAAGCCACACCATGCCTACCAAGCCACGCCCACAGAATCTGCAGTAAAAAAAATGGATTTCACCACTGGGGATAGCCAATATCTTGAACTGCATCTGGAAAGAAAGTGGAATTCAATGCTAACACAGCAGTGATGTGATATGAAATGCAAGGTCCCCCAAACTATGCATACTATGCACACTGAATTCTGGACCAATTGAAATTTCTGGATGATTTACTTGTTCAGTTTTGTATGAATCCAGCCACTGTGAATTGTAAACCACAGATTATGACTTGATATTATAAGTGAATGTTTTTTGTTTTTTTTTACAAATCACATTGAATATGATTTTGTATCTTTTAAACCATTTTTGTCTGTGTAATTTTGCTTCTATATATTTTTTTTTATTGAAAAAGTTTTCAAATACAAAAAGAAAAAAAAAAAGAAATAGGTTGCATAAAAATAGAAATTTCTAAATCAAGCAACAGTGAAGCCAGTGACTTTAAAATATGAATGATTACGTGAAAACATAGAGGAGGCGACGTATTGGTCAATATCATCCTGAGGATAGTGGCAGATCTCTGCATTGCCGTAATCTTGGGACGTGAAAAGAGCCTTAATCTGATGGATTTGAATTATCCACTTTGGAATTTCTTTTTGTGTTGATAAATATATTATAATTATCTCGAATCAGGCAAGAGAATTATGCTGGGGCATGCAGAAGATCGGGTTGTTACCCACTACGATGATGGGAATTAATAATCCTGATGAAACCCACAATTATTACTATATGGAATATAATTATAATGTCACTCGGGTGGTTGTTTTTACTTTTATACATATAAAAAGATATTTACTACTGATGGGGGCAGATATGATTGAAGATTTTGAATAAACTGTTGCATCAGCAAGCTATGTTACCCTATTATGGATGTTGGTTCTAATAATCCAGTGGAAAGACTTTAAAGAAGATATTATATGGACGATAAATTTAAAGTCATTGTCTTTTCTTTTTTTATTTAGATATAATGGAATATATATACATATATTTTTAAGTAGTGTGGGCAGTGAATCAAAGATATTAAGAATTGTTGTGTATGGTAATTTTGCAGGACAGTGGGTGAATAAGCTAGTTAGCAGACTGATTAGTTTAAGAAAAGGGATTTTTAAGTGATATACTTAGGGGAGTGGAGGAAATGGATAGAATGGAATAAATGTTAAATGTTAAACTAGATTTTATGGGGAAGGCCGCTTTGAAATGTTATAGTAATATATATAGAAGATTAAATGTTAAAGTAGGACTTATCGTATAGTTTTAAAGTGGAAGGTGGTTTTGAATTGTTGTAATAATATATAGATATAAGTTTGGGAGAGGAGAAAAAGGGCAGATTATTGCCAAATTGGGAGTTATAATACTATTATGTTAAATTAGAAGTTATTCTACAATGTTATAGTATAATGTGTTTTTTTTTTGTTTTTTGTTTTCTTTTCTGAAATGTATGGATAAAGGGGGATGTTATAATATTAATAATATTTTTAGTAAGTAAAGGTCAGTATTTAGAGGAGGGAGTAAGTAATCTGTTATGAATTAGGTTTTTTGTTACGAAGAAGTCACAGGGGGGGATGGGTGGGGAGGGGGGTTAGGGAGGGGGAGGGGGAGGGAAAAAAGGGGGGGAAATTTGTAATTTTGCTTCTCTATTGAATGTGTATATTTAGAGGGCTGCTTTTGAGAGCATACAGATGATATATTTATTTGATAGAGCATCTACAAAACAGTACAAAACAAAACAGGACACAAATTTGATCTAACCAGAACCACTTTTGTAACCCAGGCGAAATCAAGGAGAGAAAAAGAATTCCTCAAAGCCTAGTTTTCCACCAATAAGTCAAGAAACAGACATTTTGACATTGATCCAGTCTACCAATCACTGAGAACGAAAGAAGTGCATCAACTGCAATCCTGAAGATAGCATTTCAAGTGAACAACAGGCACCCCACTATGCAACAACAAAAATCATAACCCATCAGCCCACAAGAAATTGGACCACGTCTCAGTAACAATAACCAGCCATTCAAACAGACCGAAACCAGATCATGATTCAGCAGTATCATAACAAACAACACTAATTTACATCACACAGATGATACTTAAACCAAAGACCATGCCTAAGTAACAGCCAGCCAAACAGTCCAAGACTCAGAAGTAGCCGAACCAACAACATCCACACTAATTTGCATCACATAAAAAGGTATTTAAAGACCAATGCTCTGACAGACTAGCACAATTCAAAGCGCACCAACATTGTCTCCTTGAATGGTGATGAAACATTTGCAACCAAATTGCCAAGCTTGGAGCTGAGACCAACAACCCTACTACCAACCTGAGCTACTTATATTCAAATACATTTCAACAGTGTTACTATAAGAAAAATGTTATCAGCAAATATGTTAATTTGGTTGCTGGTGACTCATTTAAAAAAGAGTCATATTTAACTTTTATATAGCAGTTCTAAAATGGGAATTATTATAAAAAGTTTACTTGTAAGGTCCAACCCTACTGAGAAGATAAGCCTCACACCTACTCTTATTAATGCGAGCTGGAATGACAAAAAATATAAAGATTACAGTCCAACATTGAAGAGCCATCATTTATTTGTACCTATTGTAGGATGATATCTGAAACTCTATTAACAAAGACTATCATGGGACGGAAGCTCCAAATCATGGCAGAAAGTTTATATTTAGATTCTTGGAGTAATAGCTTAATACTGCTAATGTAATGGTTTTCCACATTTCAACAATTACTGAAATAATAGACGTTCATATTCTTCAACAACACTAAGTACTAATTATGGAGTAAGAGATGATATTTTAAAAAATAAATCATTATGGGAGCATTGTCATCAGGCCAGAGCTACTGGATAATACACTGGTGCTTTGTGATGTCACTGCTACCATAGAAACGATTAGTCTACACTGGGCATACCCTAGATATGAGCAGGAGAGCTTAGAAAGCTGAGAGAAGAGACAACATCTTGAGTCTGGCAGGGTCATCAGAAAAGCTCAGCTTCAAAACAGCATAATGTATACCCGTAATAATGGACAGGAAAAGAGAAATCGACAAGCAGAGCCTTATCCTTGTGGAAGCAAAAGTTTAGAACAAATCATTTCAATGGATGACTGTGCCAAACTTATTATTGACAGTGCGTTAATGAAGATTCAGCAGCAGCTAATGAAAAAAGCAAAGCAAGGTGGACCATGTATGTCAAATAATCCTTCACTTGGCTACAAACGTCAGGATTCCAGTTACGAGAGGACAGGGATGACCATGGGTGTCACTATCCCTAATTTTAGCCCTTCAAAACGAGGAGGGGGGTGGCAGGAAGCTCAGTACCAAGAATCAAGAAAAGAAGATATTTCAAGCATCCTCACATCAACCATCCAGAAGGTCATGCGTGAAGCTGTTTCTAATGTAGACAACAATAGCAATAACATGAATAGAAGTCTTCGGCAAGCCCCTCCTCCTGAAAGCAAGCCTCAGAGAATAAAGGCTACCTCAAAACTACCCAGTGGACCACTGGATATGTGTGGCAATGTGGACCGTATGAACATGCTAGATATTGACCAGTTGGTGAAATCTATGACTAAATTGTGTCTTTTAGAGACTGGAAGCAATGGTTCAAATTTAGGCAGTGGAGATACATCACACAAACAATATAATGGTTCATCTCAAAATTTAGGAGGACCAAGAACAGCTGCTTTAGTCAGATCTAATATGAGACAAGGTGGCACAAATGGAGTTATAGTAACTAATCAGAATGGTGAAAATGGCTCTTTGAACAAAGAACTCCAGGCTGTCCTCCAGTGGATGGTGGCTTCTCATTTCAATGTTCCCAACCTGACATTCTTAAATGACAGAGAAGGAGAACTAGCTGATCTTCCACAAGTGGCTCAGAAAGCAACCCAAAAGGGCTACAGTGTGGGAGAAATTCTTCAGAAAGTAATGAGGTACCTTGAAAGAACAGAGATGGAGGAGGCAATGGGGAAAAGACCTCAGTGTGGACTGATCCGCTGGCTCCATGCCAACTTGTAAAAGCCAATTCTTCCCTCTCACAGTGATGCAACACAGTACAGGCACCTTCAACCGCATTTACCTAATGGATCTGATAACCACAGTATGGCTGCCAGCAACAGCATATTGATTTCAACATGGCAGCTCAGCAAGATCACCAATAAAAAAACATTTTTTTTAAAATGTGAATTTAGGAGAAAGAGTCTTATTTTATTATTAGTCCAACAACATTAGGAAATAAGAATCTGGAAATTTATATTTGTGAAGTTGTATATACTCTTTTGATTTGTTACTTTGATCTCTGTGATTATAGTCTAATACTGCAGAAGCCATTAACTTCATGCTTACTATTGCATGTAAGTGCAATATAGCAACCTAAAACAATTTAGTAGATTTATGCTAAGAAAAGCTGTAGTGCATAGGTAAAGTAAGGTGACCAGATTTTAACATTGGTAAAGAGGGACATTGTGGGCGGGGCTTATTTTGTGGGCGTGGCTAGCTGGTCATGTGACTGGGTAGGCGTGGCTAGCTGGTCATGTGACCGGGTGGCCATGGCTATGTCTATAGGGTAAGGTGAACAGATTTTAACATTGGTAAGAAGGACACCATTGTGGGCGTGGCTTATTGTGTGGGCGTGGCTTGGAGGCCATGTGACTGGGTGGGCGTGGCTACCTGGTCATGTGACCGGGTGGCCATGGCTATGTGTATAGGGACTACTCAGAGGGCTGAAAAGTCATTTCTGACAGGTCCTCACACTTTTGACTGGTCCTCACACTTATGACCATCCTCACATTTATGCCGTGCAGCATTCTTAACAACCATGTCACTCATTTCACAACTGCTTCTCTTCACCATGATGACAAGATAGGGCAAAAATGTAAAATGTGAGGACAGTCATAAGTTCGAGGACTGGTCAAAAGTGTGAGGACCAGTCAAAAATAACTTTTTCAGCCCTCTGAGTAGTCCATATGCATTAAAGGATTACAGCAATAGAGAGGGATGAAGGAATGGAAATTAGAGTAGGAGTGAGGGTAAGAGAGGGAGGAAGAGAGGAGGAGAAGGAGAAAGAAAGAGGAAGTAGGGAGGAGAAAAAGAGGGTGGGGGGGAAGAGAAAGTAAGAAGGAAAGAAAAGAGAGAGGTGGTAGGTTTGAGGAGAAAGATTGCTGTACAATAAAAAAGATGAAAGAGAAGAAAGCCAACCCCAAGCAAATATAAAGATATTAAGATAAAGAATGAATTGTTAAACTTTAAAGAATAAAAGAGAACAAATATGAATAAATAGCAATAATTAGAAACACACATACAAACATACAATGTATTTTCTTTGAACAGAATATTTGGCTGGTTCACAAATTTAAACAGCGTTTAGTCATTTCAATTAAATTTACAATTTCTATATTTCCTTTTTGCCATATTTATTCCTCATCTATTTTTTAAAAAAACCAATATTACCCTTCATCCTCATCTCTAATCTTAATCAAATTCAATTTTTCCCTTCTATTCTATATTATACCCCTTCCCATTGTCATCTATTTTTATATCCATCCTCACATTGTTTAATTATGTAATTATGTAATACAGTTGTGTAATACAAATTCAACATTTTAATATAAATCAATTAGTTATAAAACTATCTTTTTTGTATATTAATCAATATGAACATGAATATTCCAATTATTTCCATGCAATCCAATTTCTTACAAATCAATTAATTATATTTACCAATAATAATAAACCAAATAATTTCTCCCATATATTCCTCCGAACCACAACTTAACCATTTCTGCTTTCAACACAATATACAATTAATAGTATCTCAATTATTACAATTCCCTAGTTAAATACAGCTTTTTTTCCTTTGTGTTTTAAAATCTTGAACTCTCCTCCTAAATTTCCCATTGTTTGCAGTTTTTCACCTACCTTTTTGGGGGAGGAAAAATAAAAATAAAAATAAATCTCTCTCTGCCTCATTTTGTCACGCTGCACCAAAGACCCTGGTTTCGGTTTCGTTTCTGAAGCTTAGCTAGGGGGAAAAAAACCTGCTTTACACTGATTGCCTGTAGGGCGGCCCTTTGAAGCCCCGGGCAAGAGTTTAAACAGTTTTTTTTTCTTCTAGCCATCAGCTGGGGCTCAAGAAAAATCGGGACTTTTTTGAAACGCTGCGGGACGCGGGACAAATTGCTCAAAAGCGGGACTGTCCCGCCAAAAGCGGGACGGCTGGTCACCTTAAGGTAAAGTGACATCTGTAGGGGGTTAAAAAAGTCAAAGTGGCAGCTATATCTAGAGTTTCCACTCTTTTTTTTTAAGTATCGCATATATGGGCTATATAAAAAAGAGGTAGAGTTTTTGATTGCGCCCTTGCAGGTACCATCTTGCCTCAGAAGCCATTGTAGACATTTTTCTGAAGAAAACAAAAGGTAGAGCTATTTTTTCAAAGCCCCAATCTTTTTTAGAGAGGCAACATAGGTGCAGGTTGTTCAATTCATTCCAAATTGAATATCTATCCAAATAATCAAGATTACATGCATGTAAAAGACAGGCACAGATTGAATGACCAAGAATTTAGCTGGACTTCCTAACTATAACCTTATTCGTGTATGAAGAAACTCTAAATAAATAATAGGCTTGTTCTGAAGGTTAGAGAAGCTAGACATCTGTGTTATTGACATCATTGAAAATTATGGATCTGTTTGTTAAAAACACAAGCTATAGTCATTAAATTCTCCAACACTCTGTTTCTCAACCTGGGTAGCTTGAAGATACATGGATTTCAACTCTCATAATTGCCTAGCCAGCATGTCCATGCATTTTCAAGTTGCCAAGTTTGAGAAACACCGTTCTAAACAATGGCACCGACAGGTTCTGATTATGAGATTTATATTTAAGCACAAATGGAACCTGGCTGTATGTGCAAGAGAAAAACTATATCTGGAATATCACTCTCAGCAAGATTGGAAAATGAATCTATAGTAGACTACGTAGCAGTGGTGAAATCCAATTTTTTTTACTACCAGTTCTGTGGGCGTGGCTTGGTGGGTGTGGTGTGGCTTGGTGGGTGTGACAGGGGAAGGATACTATAAAATCTCCATTCCCATCCCACTCCAGGGGAAGGCTATTGCAAAATCTCCATTCCCACCCCACTCTGGGACCAGCCAGAGGTGGTATTTGCCGGTGCTCAAAATTTCCGCTACTGGTTCTCCAGAACCTGTCGGAACCTCCTGGATTTCACACCTGGTATGTAGTGAGGCAATATTAGTAATATCTGGAATCTTACATAGCTTACCCCCCCCAATCATTTTTGTCATCCCAATATCACAAATTAGAAGTAAATACATTTTACATTTTAAAAAATGATAAAAATAAATATCCTTTTTCAAAAACAGCAATGCAAAGTCACTTTTAGGACTGAATATAACTGTAGTAAGAAGCAGAGAGTGCTTAACATTTTCCCATTCATTCTTCCTCCATTCCTACATACTTTGAAGAAGGATAAAGATACTTTTTCTATCTTCTATTCATCTGTTTTTCTGCTTTCTTCCCCCACTTGCCATACTCCATCAATAATTTTGTTTTGTTTTTCCTCTTCCAAAACCTTGTTTTAAAAATAGCATCAAAATAGTTTTAGCTTAGGTACAAAAGTTTGCTGATGACAAATAATTATTTCTTCAAATGAATACAAAGGAAGAGCAGATTTTCTAAAGGTGTAGAACTACAAAAGAAATTCAGGAGAATTCTCTGGGTGGCTGCCATCTGCCTTTCATAGCATCTGATGTGATTATCCCATGGTGCTTAAACTAAGCCTTGGCCTTTGGTTACTTAGTAGTAAAGATAGGGTCCTCCCAAGTACTCAGAGGGCTCTTCAATTTTACTCATACTTTAGATGACCCTGCTGTTTGTAATAATTGCTATACCTCAGCCATCAAAGATATTAGCAATGAAAAATTATGAGAAATGAATGGATGTGAGAAAAAGCATGTATTGTATCTTTGTTCAATTATAGAAAATATGTGATAAACTGAATGGGCTTGAATTATGGATTACCTGGCATGAATACGGAGTTGATGGTTTGTTTAAATATGGCAAGAATGGTATATGATGGAAGTAAGGCTGTGTGAGAGTAAATGGAATATACTGTAGGTAGTTCTCACTTACTAACCACAATTCGCAGCAGCAACATGGTTTTTAAGTATGGCATCACAGGTCCACACTGACTTATGTCAATTCTGGCTAAGTTATTAAGCAAATCACAGCAGGCTGTTAAGTGCAACATCATGTTTCTACGACTTGCGACTTCCTGCCAGCTTCCCCACTGCTTGTCAAAAGCCAGCAGGAAGGTTGCAAGTGGTGATCATGTGAGCACAGGATGTTGTAACTGCTGTAAATGTACACCAGTTGCCAAGTACCTGAATTGTGATCATATGATCTTGGGAACACTATGACGGCTGCAGCTGGTCCTAAATCTCATTTTGCAGTACCATTGTATCTTTGAACAGTCCCTGAATGAGGGGTTGGTAAGTGTGGACTACTTGTATGTAATGGTAAATGTTTCAACAAATTGAGCAGGGAATAACACAGAGAATGTGATATCCCTTAGTTATTTTATATGTTTATACATATGTTTATGTATAAATGTTGATTTTTGTGTTATGTTTGTTGGAGATGTGAATATGGGTGGACTTATACTTTCATATAAAAATGATACTGTGTTTAGGAGTCAAATGTTTCACAGTAGAATGCAATGAGAAATGTGGATCTAAAAATTAATGTATCAAAGACCAAAATACTTGTGCCTGAGAAAATAATTGGAGTGAATCGTTACAAGCTATACATCTTCTTGAAGAGGGAGATTGGTTGGTATAGTTTAATATAGCATCTTGACTGGGGAATCCTGGGAACTTACACATCTTTAAGTTGACAAGGTTGAGAAACACTGCCTTAAAATAGAATGCTTACCAAAGATGGGAAAATGAATGAAGAGATTTTACGAAAATGTTCTGTGAGGGCAAAGGCAGAAGCACAGGGCCTGAGAGCAGGCTGATCCATTGCAAAAACAATGCATCACTGTCAACTGTTTCTCCCACCCAAGAACAAATGGCCCTCAGCTTGTCACGACAAATGGACAGGATAAAGAAATGTCAAAGTTGAACGTTGGTCCTGTATATAAAAAGCTTGAGTCTCAGAGTCTTCCT